CCACTAGAACCCAGAATGGACCGGCGACCATTCCGAGCGGATACCTCACATGAAATACATACCTCAAACATGGTACCGTAATTATAATCAATGTAGTACGTAGTCTGAGTAGTTAGAATTTAGAAATTGTTAAAGTATAAATTATAACTAATTATTTTATAGAATTTTATTATTATTATGTTAGAACTCATAAATTATTATGTTATATAACATAATACTAATTATCTCTAATAAAATACTAATGAGTGATGCTATTAAAAATTGTATTTTCCTTTTTTTCTTAAATCCGCTCCTTTTCAACTCGGTAATAAATTTTAAAATATAAAATAATATTTTGACTTAAATTTGAAATTCATAAATACCAATTTAAATAACAAATTGAACGAAAAAAATCAGATTCTGTTAGAGAAATTCATTGAGACCGATTAATTAAGTATGATTTGACCGAATTTTATGACAAGAGATTGTTTGACACTTTTCTCAGAGTTATATGATTCGTTTGAATATTATAGTAGGAAAAACGTTATAACAAAATAGTAATAAATTCTAATTTATAATAGTAATAATCTATACCATAATAATTTCTAACTTCTAACATAGTAGTACTAAATATTATTTCATAAGGCTATCAATTCTAAACTATACCATAATAATATCCAACTTCTAACATAATAGTAATAAATTATAATTTAACATAATCAGTTTTAATCTATAATACAATAATTTCTAACCTCTAATAAAATAGCAATAAATTCTAATTCATAAGACAATCAATTCTAATCTATAATACAATAATTTCTAACCTCTAACATATTATTAATAAATTCTAATTTATAAGATAATCAATTCTAATATATAACATAATAAATTATATTAATATAATTTTTTTCCAACAAGTATCTAATTTATAATAATATAACTTATACTAAATATCCCCCTATATATTAATACATAATGCGTTGAGCCTACGTGGCTGCTTCTGGTGCTTCGGAATCTTATGTGGCAAAATTACATGCTTCGTTATTAGGCTTGAATAAATTTTAATTTAATTCCAAACCAAAAATAATTAGGTTCGGATTACCATAATTATGTTGATTATTTATGGCCATGTTAATGTATTAATTGTTTAATATCATTCCTTATTATAACTATTGAATTATATATATATTTTAAAAGTTGATAATTTTTGTATTTTTTATCAGTTTTACATATGTAATATATCAAATTAATCTTCTTTTGATGAGCCTATATATTAATACATAATGCGTTGAGCCTACGTGGCTGCTTCTGGTGCTTCGGAATCTTATGGGGCAAAATTACATGCTTCGTTATTAGGCTTGAATAAATTTTAATTTAATTCCAAACCAAAAATAATTAGGTTCGGATTACCATAATTATGTTGATTATTTATGGCCATGTTAATGTATTAATTGTTTAATATCATTCCTATTATAACTATTGAATTATATATATATTTTAAAAGTTAATAACTTTTGTATTTTTTATTAGTTTTACATATGTAATATATCAAATTAATCTTCTTTTGATGAGCTTCGATTTAACATCCATATTGTATGTATAAAAAAAAATTATATTTATCTTTATAACAATAATAAAATTATTTTTGATATTAATTAGAAAAATAAAATTATTTATCAACTAATATATTTATATTTCAAGTAGTTATATGATATAAGTTATAACAACTAATATAATATAACACATGTAAGTCATAAGTAACACATCTCATTCTAAAATATATAGTAATATTTTTTTTTGTAACTAAATTTAATTTAGTTTTCTCATTAATTTTAAAATTTAAGAATAATTTTTTAACAAACACCCGTGTAATACACGGGTGTTGTACTAGTATTAATATAAACAAAGCTGAATATCATAATATATCAATAACATAATGAATGTCATCAATCACAAACATAATATACCATAACAATTTCCAACTTCTAACATAATAGTAATAAATTTTAATTTATAATATAATCAATTCTAATCTATAATACAATAATTTCTAATCTCTAACAAAATAGCAATAAATTCTAACTTATAAGACAATCAATTCTAATCTATAATACAATAATTTCTAACCTCTAACATATTAGTAATAAATTCTAATTTATAAGATAATCAATTCTAATATATAACATAATAATTTATACTAATATAATTTTTTTAAACAAGTATCATTTCTAATTTATAATAATATAACTTATACTAATTATACTAATATCATTTTTTTAACTGTATATGTTGTTAGTTCATTTTATCCTCAACAAGTGCATAACAAACATAACCCGAAATTAACGTATAAACACGGCCGAATATCATAATATATCAATAACATAATGAATGTCATCAATCACAAACATAATATACTATAACAATTTCCAACTTCTAACATAATATATTAATATATATAATATAATATATTAACTTAATTAATATATATTAATATAAAATATATATTAATTTTATTAATATAAATTGTTATGGTATATTATGTTTGTGATTGATGACATTCATTATGTTATTTCGGTCGTGTTTATACGTTAATTTTGGGTTATGTTTGTTATGCACTTGTTGAGGATAAAATGAACTAACAACATATACAGTTAAAAAAAATAATATTAGTATAATTAGTATAAGTTATATTATTATAAATCAGAAATGATACTTGTTTGAAAAAAAATATATTAGTATAAATTATTATGTCATATATTAGAATTGATTATCTTAGAATTTATTACTAATATGTCAGAAATTAGAAATTATTGTATTATAGATTAGAATTTATTGTCTTATGAATTAGAATTTATTGCTATTTTGTTAGAGGTTAGAAATTATTGTATTATAGATTAAAACGGATTATGTTATAAATTATAATTTATTACTATTATGTTAGAAGTTGGATATTATTATGGTATAGTTTAGAATTGTCTTATGAAATAATATTTAGTACTACTATGTTAGAAATTAGAAATTATTATGGTATAGATTATTACTATTATAAATTAGAATTTATTACTATTTTGTTAGAACGCTTTTCCTACTATAATATTCACACGAATCATATAACTCTGAGAAAAGTGTCAAACAATCTTTTGTCATAAAATTCGATCAAATCATATTGAATTAATCGGTCTCAATGAATTACTCTAACAAAATCCGATATTTTTCATTCAGTTTGTTATTTAAATTGGTATTTATGAATTTTAAATTTAAGTCAAAATATTATTTTGTATTTTAAAATTTATTACCGAGTTGAAAAAGAGCGGATTTAAGAAAAAAAGAGAACTACAATTTTTAATAGTATCACTCATTAGTATTTTATTAGAGATAATTAGTATTATGTTATATAACATAATAATTAATAAAATTCTAACATAATAATAATAAAATCCTATAAGATAATTAGTTATAATTTATATTTTAACAATTTCTAAATTCTAACTATGAGATATTAAATTCTAATTTATAACATAAATCTAACTTCTAATATAATGTATATAAAAAAAATAAAATAAAATAAAATTAGCCGGCCGGCCGGCAAAACCGGCCGTGCATGGTGCGGCCAACCGGCGAAACCGGCCGTGCATGGGCCAGCCAACCGGCAAAAAGAAGGCCGGCACGGCTACAGCCGGCATTCAAGGCTGGCCAGCCAAAAAAAAAAAATTATTTTTATATTAAAAAGGGTAAAACTGTCTTTTTGGGGGCGGTATTTAGTAAAAAGGAGGGCGGTATTTAACAACACCCATTTTAATATTAAGTTATAAAACCAACATATTCAAATGTTCATGTGAAATCAATCATCCTCAACCAACGAAACTCACCATCATTCTTACAAAAATACAAAAGAAATCTAGTACAAACAACAATAACTGAAGGTGGCAGCATATATATAATACATTACATCGTTCTTCCATTATTAATGAATCATTCCTCACCCTGTCCCTGAATCATCCTGAACCAAAAGATGAGTGAGTCATAAAAGCAGCTAACAAGTAAATATATATATATATATATATATATATATATGTATATATATATATATATTTTGGAAAATAATTGGACTAGGGGAAACAAAATTGATCAATGATTTTGTTTTATCCGGCTACCCCTTTATTAAATTCTTGATCCGCCCATTGCAACACAAATTAGTAGTGAGGGTACGTTACTACAAACCTTTATGCATACATAAATATAGTGCACGTCGGAATTTATTCCCACAGCTGCTTCCGGGAAGCTTTGTTCATCCACATCCAAGGGAATGGGAATGGGAACGGGAGAGGTCAGTTCTGGGATCAAGTTTGAACTATTATTATGATTTCCTGGTTGAAGCTTCTCTGCATCTCATCATGTAAGGTCGACTCGTTAAAAGGCAAACACAACTACTTCAAACAGATAATCTTCAGGATAAAATCCATTATCAGTACAAATTCAGTTTCAACCAACCTATCACATGCAGCTTGATCGTCCAATTTAAATTTTGCAATACTGGCAGTCGATAATTTGGTGATCCATATGTGATCTGAATACATTGAAATCTCAAGTAAGAGCAAGAAAAGCATAAAAAGATGCTCGTAACAAGTTTCATAACAATATAAAAGCAATTTGGTTGCCTTATTTTTTTCTTTTTGTTCTTCCCATAGAAACACGACGACACGACTTACCAGAATATATACTCCTTTATCCTTGAGAACCCTATAGTTTGTCATCAACTGCGTCAACTTAGGAGTAGCGCCAAATGGATAAAAAAAAATTAAAATAAAAGAATTATACAATGCGCAAATGAATTTTGAGTTGCTAATATACCTCCAGACTTCCTCAAGCATCTTAGAAGAATTGTGCTGTGAGTTTTGTCCACACTGCAGAACAAAAGAAAAACACCTCATCTCAACTAACAGAAAGACTTAACAAAGGAATATGGACACCAAAACACAATAAAGGGGACTCACCAAAAGCGAGTCCAATGTCCCTGGAAGAATATTTACACCAGAAAGCATTATATACTGATGCAAAATCATTTACTGAAATACATTTTGGTAAAAAGACTTACCTTTATCTATGACAGCTGCAAAGGACCTCGTATCAAAGGCACTCATATCTCGTACATCCATTTTCATATCTGCTCAGGTGCTAAGGGAAATGTTATCTAACCTATGCAATTCGAGAAGGAAAAATGTCCCCTTTTTGTTTTCTTCAAATATGCTATGTTACCCGGACTCTTCTGTTTAGGAAGAATACCCGTGTCATGTCGTGTCGACACTGGTGTGGGTATGGGTGTCGGGTGTGGCATTTTAGCCTAAAATGTTCAAGATTTCTAAACTATTGACGAGTCGAATGCTCATATCTCCACACCCGATACGCCACCCATATCCGAGTCCAGGTAGCATAGCAAATAAGTAACAATCCAACTGTATGAAAAAACTAAATTGGAAGTAAAATAATTTGACTCATCTTTCTATGGCTCGTCATATTCATCTATTTAAGAACTCACAAATGCAGGGTCAATTACAACTGCCAAACTTAATTGTGAGCCATTAAGGATACATTTCAGCTGCGGGCGACTCAGATACTTCCTTTGCATTGCTTCAATCACCACTGAGGAGATGTCGATATTGACAATTTCATCATAGCCATCATCAGCCATGCCCTCACTAAAGGCTGCAGAAAGAAGCACATCTCTCCAGATAAAGGAAAATGGGAAAAAATAAAGAAAAGTAAATTGCCTGATAATATTCTTGTCATCTACGTTACATTTCAAACTCGACAAAAGAAGCTTCGCAACATGGTAGCTAGAACTAGATTTATTGAAGCCAGCTGTATAACTATAAGTGTATGATGTAGAAACATGATGTAGAAGCCAGCCGATTTATTTTATGATTTTGATCAACTGCCACTACGTTCAATTTGCAAATCGACAAACCGATTGGTTGTTCTTATTAAATAGTCACCAACGAAATTCCTAACAGCTAAGCAAGATCACATATCATGATTCTAATAGAAAAGAAAACACAGGGAACAACAAGTAAACGAAGTACATAAGCATAAGCATAAGCATGTTTGGTCTTCTATCTGTGAATCAATTGACAGGTTCCATGAGCATATAGGCCATCACAGAATCTCACAATGAAAGACAAAAGGCCACAGGCTTACTCCAGGACTCAAAAGATGAGCTTTCAAAGGTAACAAGATACATTTTTGTTGTCACATAATAAAATCAGTGAAAATATATTAATCAGAACTCAATTGTCTCGCAAGGAAAATTTGTAGATCAAGATTTAAAAAGGTGCGGCAATTAAACCTCAAAATAGAAAACGAGGAACGAATACAGAGGGAGGAGTTGAGTACCCGAATTTCCAGAGCCGACGACGAGGATAGGGTGGCGGCGAGGAACGTAGAGGCGGATGAGGGGGGCGAGGGAGGGGTATTTCTGATACCAGTCGAAGGTGGATGAGTCCTGCGAGTAGCGGTTGTCCCAGTACCATGCCTCGCCGTACGCCTGGGAGCCGCCGCCGACGCCGACGCTCGATGCCAGACCATTGCCTGCCGTCATCTCCGATGATGTACCCGAGTTCACAGATTCATTCATCAATCAAATGATTGTTTTGCTTTCCGGTTATTGGAAAATATTAAAAGTGGCCCCTTTGTTATGCTGAAATTGCAAGAATATCCTTGCAGTAAGATCTCTTATGAAAATGCAACATCCCACTTACTTTTGCGTCTGCTGTAAGTTTACATGAAAATGGTTAAAATTGCAAAAAAAAAAAAAAAAAAAAAAAAAAAAAAAAAAAAA